GATCTAGATCATCAGGTGAGTTGTCAAGACATCTGTCTAAAACAATTATTTGTCTTTGTCTATTAAGGATAGAATTATACATTTTGGCTTGATCATCATGAAAATTATCATATCTGCGTTAGAGAGCTGCTTTAATTTGTTTCATTTTATGTTTGTCTCTTCTAATTTGAACGCAATCAAATGGATTTTAAGTAACTCAGAAATATTCTGTTTAATTGTGATGAGATCAGTAATTTGTGGAGTGCCGATATGCAATTTAAATTGTATTTTATTGCGATATCAAAACTATGTTATATGTCTGAGGTCAGTTTACTGATATAGAATTGAGGCGAATGCATTTTTTTGTTGTACGTTAGAACTTTTGTATTAAAATCAATTGTTTATAAAGGTTCTTTAATAATCTTGGCCTAAGGTCACGAGAGTGTTAAGATGAGTATCTAGACGGGATACATTTATCTGCCGCTTTTTTGATGCATCCTTGTATGAGATCCCAAAAGAAATTGAGGGCATATTTTGAGTGTAATCTGTTAGAAAAGAGGTTGGATAGTTGACAGCTTCCAAGAAAACCATCCATTTTTTTTACCAAATTGTGTCCAAGATTTTTCGTCCATGTTATCATAAAGGTAAATCTTCTTTTTGATACATTTTTTATCATTATTTGAAGTGGTAAGTTCAGTTATGTTCATATTGATAGAAACTATTGAATGGTCAGAAATGTTGGGATCGATATTGATAGTTTGGGTTTTATTGAGGCCTGCAGCAATATGTGAAGAAGTATAAATATGGTCAATTTTTGAAGGTTGATAATGCGCAATGTGAAAGAAAGATGGGAATAGTTGATTAGCATTATCATGCAGAAGATCAAAGGAGTTGAAAAGTTGGAAGTCTTCAAGTTGGGTAAAGAAATGATTAGCTTTTGACATATTATTAGAATGGTCTGGGATTGCATTTAGGTCTCTTAGTAGAATGATTTCCATGTTGAGGTCTATCGCTGATTTAATGACGTTACATACTTCTTTATATGTTTGTTCTCGAAGGGCTATATTTGAACTTGATATGTAGCAGTTAATTAATCTAATGCGAAATTTGTTGCAAAATTAAAAATCAATGAAAATATAATGACCATGTTGCCCGTCATGTTTGTAAATATGATCGGCAATATGCTTTTTTATGAGAAAGCCAACTCCGAAACCTGAATTTTGTGACTTTTGATCAAAGTTGAAGAAATGTGAGTATTGAAACGATGTTAATTTTGAGAAGGCTAAAGTATTATTGGTTGATTTAAAGTTTATCTCTTAGAGGCTTATTATGTCTAAGTGATTAATTTCGTAAGTATTGAGCTGGAATTGTTGTTTTTGTAGTTGAATGAAAGAGCGAACATTGTGTGTCGCAATGTTGAGTCAAGGAGATAATGTATTATTAGTCGAAAATAAATTGTGGGTATTGTTAGTTTTTGTTTTTTTGTTGTTTGCTATCGGGTTACTGAGGCCAACCCATTTATAATTCTGTGAATTATCAATTATTAAAAATATTTGGAGGTGGAAAATAAAGACACCGTTAACTGTTTTTTCATAGCTAGAAGGGAAAGCAACTTTTTCAATAGCAGTAAAGGCGTCTGGATTGATTTAAAGTTGTGTTTATAAGATTCTTTGCATGTTAGCGATTACGTGTTCTGCATTATTGAGTTTGGTCATATTATTTTCAAGGTTGGTTTTGAGGAGAGTGTTTTTATCTCTCAAGGTAATTAGTTCAGCAGATTGTTTAGCAACAATATTGTCTTTTGTATAGGGACCAGCTACATAGGTATGTTCTTCAGTTTCCATGCCATCTTCATTAAAAGATTTGTTAAGTAAATCTGCTTAGTGAGGGAGTAGGACGTTGATATTAAGGATTTTTTCAACTGTAGCAACTCGATTCGCAGTTGAGTGGAGATCTGACTCCATTTTAGCAAGCTGCAATTAGTTGATTGAAAATCTAAACGAGCAATTCTAGTTGGGATGGTTGGTTTGAGATAACATTTGGCAAACAGAATTCGTCTAAAGTTTCATCAGCCTAACGATGCAATGCATGTATACTAGCATCTAAGGTTTGTTCTCCTTTATCATTGATGGGGCGGATGGGGTGATACATTGTTGATATCAATCTTTTTTTGGTGATTTGATTTGAGGAGAGTTTGTTTGACGATTAAGCGAAGCGATAACATTGCTAGATTTAGGTATATCTTTGGCATTATTTTGTTATTAGCTCAGTTTATTTGTAGTTTGCTATTTATTAGGGTGGGGTGGTGGTTTGGACACAACGACAGGTGCCTTGTAATTTTAAAACTGTGCAGGCTGGTAGCGTTGGTATAAGTGTTGAGTTTGTCAGTCTTATAGGGCTGAACAATTTTTATGACAATTCTGCGATTGGTGACCTGGAACTTGACAGATGAAACAAAGTTTTCATTAGGATCAGTTCAGATTAATCGTTTCCTATCAAGGAAATATGTTTCTCCATTTTTTGCTGCTTCTATAGATTCTTTAGTTTTAAAATAAAAGATGACGTATTGTAAATTTCTGTAATTAATACGTGACTTGGGGATGACCCAGGCAATCGCTTCGATAGCATTACCGATAGAGATTAAATGACGCCCATTTGTATTAAATAGGAGGTTAGTTAATTTCAAAGAAAATTCTGATTTTTTTCTAACATCTTCAATTGACATAATACATGGGTGGACCTTGACTAAGTCTTTAAGGACAAAATAGCTGTTAAGTTTGTTCAGGGTAGTCATATCTGTGTCTTGTTCAAATGTGAGGGTAGCTTGCTGCCAAAGGTTTTTAGTGGACATTACGCAATGGGAGATCTTTCTAAAAAAGGAAAAGGTCGATCTAATATTTGATTCAGTAGTAGAGATTGGGATCTCAGTGAGATGGATCGACAACTCAGGGATGTACTTAGCTATTAGTTTAATTGTGAGGGATAAAAATGTGTTATTTTCCAAACATGGAAATTTAAGTGTAATTGCATTGTTTGCTTCAGCATGTGAGGTAAAACCAATTTAGACGATTTTCTTTGTTGAGTCCTCGGGGTGAATACGAATTGAGGTACCAATGAAGAATGAGTAATGTGATGCAAATAAATCACATGCTTCATTTTGTTTGTCTCTATTGGATTTTCTGGGTAAAACTTATCTGCGACGCAGTAAGCGAAGTATATTGGAGCTTCAGTTTTGCGCTCTAAGTGAATTTCATTTTTATCATTTTGTTTGTTGTTGAAGCCATTTTCAGAGGCATCAAAGGCTTAGTCCTCATCAAGGGGAATGTTGGCATTATTGTTAGAAGTTTCAGGATCTTTTCCTTTGTCTAAAGTTTTGGGAAGCGAAGTTTCAACTTCTATGTCTATAGAGCTGTTGGAGTTACTTCCAGAGGCGTTTGAAGTTTCTGTTTGTTTTGGTAGTTCAATATGTTATTTCTTAGCTAGGCGTTATTGTTGTTGGTCATTCTCCATAGGAGAAGAGCGAGCTTGGTAAGGTTTGGAGTTGTTATTACAAATGGTTTTCTTTCCAGTCATTTTTTTTTGTTTGGTAATTAGCAGAAAGAGTTTTTTAAATTTATTATCAAACAAATTTGTTATTTTTTTATTTTTATAATATAAGTAAACACTTAAGTGTATATAAACGCAATTTATTATTGTGATCATATGACTTTACTAGCATTAATTCACATTTATGAAGATATGCGGATACTTTTGTCCAACCTCTGTAATAAAGATATTTTAATTTTTTATCATCATTTTAATATTGTATTAAATATTAATAATTCAGCATTTGAAGATGATATTTTATTCAATCTATTGCGTATTGTATCACAGCATATGACAAAAATCAGTTAATATTATATCTGATTAGATACATAATAAAGATTACAATTTTCTCTGCAAATCTCAAATATACAGAAAGAATTAAGAAAGATAATATATTTACTTTATCTTTAAATATCTATAGAACTGAAAAAAAAAATAATTAGCATTATGATAACAATTTTTAAAATTAAATTAAGAATCAAACAAACTTATTTATTATTACTTTACAAAATAATACAAGTTTATTTAATTGTTAATATAAACAATACAGTATGTGACAGCATAAGACATTTACTTTTTGTTTGATTATATAATATATCATATAACCATAAAAGTCACGTGAATTTATATTCAAACCATTCAGAATTGAACATTTAATCAATATTTGATAAAATCAAATTAGATATTGATCTATGTGACTTGAATTTTTTACGACATATTCAGCTTATTTAGCATTTAACCTTTTTCTGTAATAATCTATATACCGTGCAAACTTTCTAGCATATTTTTTAATATGACTAATAGGAATTGAATTCAATACAAGTGAAACAACTCTTTGCAATTCTGACCAACTATAATTACATTACTGACAAGCATACCATTTTGCTGCTTCTCAATACATTTCAATATAATTAAGTTCACAATAGAATTTTGGATAAAAAATAACTTTATGGCCTTTTGCTTCAATAATTTCTTGATTTGAAAGAATATATCTTGCATAACATTGAGAATTAATATTATATTTATTATTATCACAATATGCTCTCAATCCTATTGATGACCATAAACCTTTTTCTTCTAAAACAATCTTCATTCCTTTAGGTTTTTTACATAAATTTTTGTTATAATAATTATCTAGATAATTCATGTGTTGAATCTATCTACTGAAGATTGTATCACATAATTTAGCTTATTTTCTGCCTAGATTCAAGTTTATATAATTTGCATTTAATGCATCATTAGCATATTTTTCATAGCTTAATAAATTATTAAAGGCGAACATTGCAATTGCATTTAGATGAGTTTTTTTCAAAAATAAGTATAGTTTGATTTTCTATCTAAATAATTATCAATATTAAAATTAATAAATTATTTTATATTTTAATATCTTATTTTATTTATAAATTTATCTATTCGATCAATTTATTCATATTCCATCATCTATCAAAATTTTTATCTGGATTTATCATTACACGTGCTTCATAATGCATGAAATCTCTAACTTCTTTTATTTGATCATCATTTAATTTTAATTTTTCAATAGTATCTGTTAAAAAATCATTAATATGAACTGAATTTTCTTGACCTTTTTTACGTAAAGGTTATTCTCCATTTGGTATCTATCCAGATTTTAGACTATTATTTGATTGAAATATGATTTCATCATGAGTGACAAGTATGTGTAACTTTTCATTATTATTTAAAATTAAATCAATTCATCTTTCAAGATTATCACCTTCAAATGTTGGCATTAGATTTTGATACCTAATTAAATTTTAATATTAATTAAATTCATTTAAATCCATTATTTTTAAATAGACTTACATGCTAATTTCTTCAAGAAATTGTTTTTGATATCCAATTACATCTGATCTTTCATGTCCATCTATATACATTTCTTTTTGATATCTATTATAAACAAATCCCATTTTTTCAACCATATATTTGCTATTCGAATACTTAAATGAAAGTTAATTATTATTTACTAAATATTTTTTTAAAAGTATAGTGATAAATATTTAATTTTTACCTTATTGTTACTTTTGTTTTAATTTCTAGTAATGGCAATATTTCTGATGATATATAATCATGAAAATTCTGAACTAATATATTATGTTTTTCTTTTCGTAAATATGATGAAACTTTAAGCTAAACATCTTCATTTTCAAGTAAACTTTTTTTTGAATATTTATCACGATTAATTTGTGGAATATTATTATATAATGCATATAATTTAACTTAAGTTTAAACACATTTAAAATCATTCTTCACGATTTAATAATTATGTGACAATTTTAGCAGATTCTAATTTATGATAACCAGATCTTTGTAATTAAAAAAAGTTTTGAACTACTTTAAATTGAACCCTTTGATTTGATATTATTTTTTTGTCAGTCTTAAGTTTATTTTCAATCTTTATAATATACTCATCCAATAATTAATTATTTGATTCATTATTTCTTTTTTTTTCATCATCATTTTCTTCTTCTCCTTCATCATTACTCCCTTTTTCTATTTCATTGTCATTCATTTCATCTCTTTTATCTCTTTCATCATTAATTTTCTTTTTACCATCAATTTATTCTTTGCTTAATATGAAAAATTTATCTAATATTTGACCATTTGCTTTGATAACTTCACATATAGACTTTTTCTTTCTTCTTTTAGTTTTAACAGAATTTCTATGATATGTAAGTAGATGATTATATGATTTTAAATTTTTCATATTATCAATTAGAATTTGAAATAAACTTTCATCTTTATCAAAATATTCATCTTTTTATTCGAATTTCATATCTAAATCCTCATCATCAGAAGAATTATATTCTTTATCATTATTTATATTTTTAAAAGACAAAAATTACAATTCTAAATATAAAAAAAAAGTTTTTTTTTAGTTTATTTATACCTTTTATTGTCTCACCCTAGCAGAAATTTTTGCTATTTTTCACAAATGTAAAATCTTTTTTTTTATTTTCAGCATTTTGATTACAAATTAGATTTACATACATTACATATTTTATATATGTTATACAAGTATAATTCCAATTGAAATTCCATAATTTAGGCTAAAATTATAAGGTCAAATCAGAATTAAATATAATAAAATTTTGTATTTTAAAAATTTATAACTTTTGATGCAATGATCTGATTTTAATTATCTTAATATATTTTAATAGAACTTCTCAAGATATATTAACTAATTTTAAAATTAATTTTCTAATATTTTTTTATTTATATTTAAAGATCATTAATTTTATTAAATGTCTTATAGTATTACTCACTATAGTAATATTTAATTAATTTGAATTTTTCATTTGATTTTATTTTACTTATATGAAGTAGATAAAAGAATTACTAACTAAAATATCACTCTTTTATACAATTTGTAGGATTAATTTTAAAATATGTTTTTAAGAAAATTATATTAATATGATTGCATCATGAAATCTAATTAACAGATCTGCTTAAAATCATAATAAAAAACTTTGATAGTACTATATATAAAGATCAATAAAAAGATTTTTTTTATTATATATAAAGCTTTATGTATATGTAAAAAAGTTAAGAAAATATATACAATTATTTATATTTATGATATATATTATTTTTAATATTGCTGCATATTTATCGATGATTATTCAAGAAATTTTAATTCACTACATAATAATACTATTCTAAACTAATTTATTCAGTTTTACAAAATATTCTACTAATATATCTTCTAAAATTCTATAATTTTAAAGTCAAAAAATTTATTATTTACAATAGTAAATTTCTCTCTAACTCTTTTGCAAAATCTGATATTATTTATCAGAATTATATTTTATATAGCTCAGACCGCTTAGTCATAATTAATTTCAAAATTATGGTCAAATTTTTAAATTTATATTAAACATATAAAATTATATGACTAATAATGACCAACAAAATTTTTTATATATAAATCACATGATATATCGATCGATATATTTATTTTTTATTTTTCTATTTCTTGAAAAATACTCTGTGAAATTATATAATAATGCTTATACTTTTTAACTTTATACTCAGTTTGTTTAGTATTTAATCCTTTTTTATATATATCTATATAATGATAAGATTTTCTAATATATGTACAAATTTGTATAATAAAAATAGAATTAAGTGCTTTAGAAAAAATTTGCTTAAGACCCGTTCATATATAATTGCAATATTTTCACGCATATTTTTTAGCAGCATCCTAATATATTTCAATGTAATTTAACTTCACAATAAAATTTGAAATAAAAATTATTTTGTGATTATGTACTTCAATTACTTCTTGTAATCTACATTTTTGATTTTTAAAATCAGATTGATTTTCTAAAATATGTCTCATATAACAATCAGTTTCCATTGAATCAGATTTCGACAATAATCTACTATGCCTTGCTTTCATAAATCACGTTTTTGAAGAATAATTTTTATTGTCTTAGATAATCCACGAAGAGAAAAATCATTATAACTATATGTTAAATCTATTCATTAAAAATAGTATTATGCATAATAGGTTATTTATCTCCAGGATTAACATTTATTGCTTTTACATTTAAAGCATTAATTGCAAAAATACTATGAGATAAGAAATTATTAAATACAAAAATTGCAATAGCATTTGAATGTGTTACTTCAAAAATAGGTATTACTTTTTCTTCAACCTTAATAATTAATATTAATTAAAACAAAGAATTTTTTTTAAAAAAATTAATAATTATATTTATATTTACTTGTTTAATTAATTATTTAATATTTTAATAACCATCTCTATATTTACCTATATAAATAATTTCATGAGCTTTATATAGAATATTTGATTCTTTATTTTATTCTACTTATAAGTATAAACATCTGATTATTTCATAAAGAAAATTACTAATATAAATTGATAATCCTTATCCTTTTTTCTTAAAGGTTGTTCATTAGTAGGAGTCTATCTAGATTTATGACTATTATTAGCATAAAAAATTGTTTCATTATATATAACAAATACATGTTCTTTTATATTATCTTTTAATAATAGTTTTACTTGAATTTCTAAATTATCACCTTCAAATTTTAACATAAATTTTTTATATCTAAATAAATATATAAATAATTTATTAATATATTTATAAATTAAATTATATAATTATAAAAAAAAACATTTTTACTTACTTAACTATTTGTGTGAGAAATTGTTATCGATATTCTATTATATCTGGTCTTTTATGACTATTATAATATACTCCTTTATAATATTACTTAAATACAAATCCCATTTTATTAAGCTATCACTTTGCAGTTGAATTTCTAAAAAAAAAATCATAATTGATTAATATTATTACATAATAATTAATTTTAAAAAATAATAATTACCCAATTTTTTTAGCATGCTCAATTCTAAGTTTTGGTAAATAACATTCGAAATATAATTTACAAAGTTAGCAATATAAAATTCAAATTTATTTTTATATAAATATAAAATAATTTTAGCTTGAATATCCTTATCATTTAAAAGACTTTTAACTTTAGGATGTTTTTCTTAAAATGATTCTAAAAGAATATTATCATCTTTTAAAATATTAGTTTACCCATAAATAGATTATGCAAGATAAACATTACAGCCTAATTTATGTATTACAGATAAACTTATATTTATCTTTGTTTTAGTAAATTTAAATAATCAAAGATATTATTATAGACTACAGTTAATTTCCATTTCAAACTATTTAAAAGTTTGTCTTTATTAATTTAATTTTTGATTTTCTTTATTAGTTTATTATCTGATAATAAATCTTTAATATTAAGGTTTTCATCATTAGACCAGTAAAGTTCTTGATCATTTTCATCTTCAAAAACTTAATCAAAAGAATTTTTATTTTCAGAAGTTGAATTAGCTTCAAGTGGTTTTTCAATTGATGTAATTTTAAAAAAATTAGAAATTTTCTTTTTATGTTTAGCAGCAGATTTTCTTTCTTCTGCTTTACATTTTTTTTGAGTTCAAGAAGAATTTTCTAAATAATATAAAAGTCACTTTGATGAGATAATACTTTTTACATTATGCATTAAGAGTTAAAGAGTTTTTTTCATATTATTATCCAACTCTTCTGTATACCAAAGTGCTGAATCCTCATCACTATCAGTACTTTCTGCTTCTGATAATGTTACAACTTCATGTATATTTTAATTATATTTTTTTAAATAAACTTATTATTTTGATAAAAGTAACATTAAAAATCGTAAAAAATTAAAAAAAAAATTTTTTTTTTTTAATAAAAAAAGAAATCTGATCCTCCTTTTTTTCTAAAAAAAATTTGTTTTAAAAAAGAAAAAAATTCAATTCTTTTAAAAAAATTTTGATCCTTTTCTTTAAGAATTTATTTCTTCTAAAATGAAAGAAAAAAAAATTCGTTTGTTCTCTCCTAAAAAAAATTTATTTGTTCTCTTCTAAAAAAAAATTCATTTGTTTCCTCCTAAAAAAAATTTGTTCGTTTCCTCCTGAAAAAAAATTCGTTCATTCCCTTCTGAAAAAAAAAATTCAGTCTTTTTCTTTTTAAATTAGTTAATTATATTAAAAAAAGAAATGATCTTAACGGCAAAACTAAGTGGTCTGAGCTGTAATACAGATCTTATCATATTATCAATTATATTATATTATAGATATAACTATAAAGATTTTTCACAATTAAATCATTCATATAATCTTTAAAAATAGTTATCTTAAGAAATGATCAAAATTACATAAATTATTTGATCATGAATTGTATGAATAAATTCAAGAACATTTACATCACTTATATATTCCTTTTGTTACTTTTTATATCTTTTACTATATATATATGAGTGATGATTATATTCTTCACAAACTTTATATTTATAATTCTATTCTTTAAGATATATTATTTTTAAAGTAATTCTACTTTAATAA